TTCAAAAGGGAAAGATCATCTGCCACACTTCTTTTTCCATGCTGTATTTTCCCAAACCCTAGAGGAAGGAGAGAGACTTCCAGCCTTGCTGTGTTGCTAAGTCTGTTACCAGGCAAAACATGTTGTAGCAGGCTAGAAAACGTTTTCAAAACACAGGAGAAGATTTTATTGTTTGTAAACTGGGTCTGAGCTGCTTTTCTTTGACAATAATGGAACCCTTAATACCCCTACATTCTCACAGCCACTGGGAAAGCAAATCCAAATCAGACTGCCTTGGTTTTATCCAGGGCCAGGGGAGCTGACACAGAGTTAAACCAGGTGGTCTTTTGTGGGAGGGAAGAAGGAGGAAATGTGCAGCACAGGGGAAGTGATGAAGCTGAATCACTGTAAATTGTCCAATATTCCTGTCTGTCCCATTTTTATGGGGGGGAAATGTTTGCAGTTGTGCTCAGATCCACCCAGGAACACAGCATTACACATTAAACCAATATTATCCACCTGTCTGCAGGAGATAATTCCCCTTTTCCAGGCTGAGATGATGGGAAGGAACATCCATTTATTTTTGGGAAGCTTTGCCACCCGTGTTATCCTTCACTCTTATCACAGAGAACACAGTGACTGAAAAAGCACAGTACCTCTAATTGAAGTGTTCTGGTTATGAACAGTGATTTACCCAGCTTGAGTAATGACAGGGGCCAGGGAATTATCTTCATTTTTCTAGGCCTGGATCTCTTCTGAAACAACATCTCAGGGCTGTGGCTTGAATTCAGAGTTGTATGAAACTGAAGTAACATTTTAAATGTTATGTATTTATATATTCCTGCACATATGTGCACTCAGAATTAAAAAAAAAAAAAAAGAAAGCAGGATTTTTTTTTTTTTTTTTTTTTGGTCTCATGCTAGAATTTTAACTTTCTGGTTTCGAGGATGTTTTGGAGGAGTTTAAAGTCTAACATGAAACTTTTAAAACTGTGAATCACTGAAGTTGCAGATTCTGGAGGTACATTGATTTCTGTACCGTGCAGGCCAGAATAGTTTCAATAATTTAAATTTGGTCAAAGGTCTTCTTCCATCCTGAAAGAAACTGCAGTCCATCACTAAATTTTCCTGTGTTTAGCATTTTATAGACACAGGTTATAGATTTTTTTTTAGTTGCTTGGACCTACATAATAGTTTTAAGTGATCCCCCTGTGGTTTTGATGGCCTGTAAACTGCATTGTGCTTCTCTCCTTTCACAAAGAATATCAGCACATATATAGGGATTATACACAATAGTTGTATTTAGTTGTAGTTAGATCAGAATTAGGTGCAACAGGAGATCCAGAATGAGATGCTAAACAATATTTTGGGGCAACTGGGAAATAACAGTTGTGTGAAATCCTTTTGTAGAGGAAGCCTGTTGTGTTTAGGACCTTGAGGCATTGGGGATCTGGTCAGGATTTGGGTAAAATGCTTGTCTTGGCACCCAAACTGCAAAATGGGAATTGTGACATCACCTTTGCCTTCCTTCCTTGTTTAAATCAGGAACTCCTTGGGGTAGGGGAAGCAGACAGCACTTAATGGGATGGGCTAATTGCAAAAGAAAGAAATAATGGTTGTGTGCTGGCAAAACCAGGCAAGGTAGAACTGCAGCTGCTGGTACCACTTCAAAGGGGTGACACACTGCAGTGGTTTGAGCAGCTGCCATGCACAGGTAAAGGCATCCAAAGGTGGTTTGGGCATCACTGTGTAATTTGGAGTAGCTCAGATGAATTGAAGCTGTTGCTGGGAAGGAAGACAGGCAGACCTGTGCCAACAAGGACTTTAGAGGTGAATGGGTATGTCCTTTGATGGACCTTTTATCCCCACAACCCACACTCAGGATGGAAAAAACCAGGCTTATTTAATAACACCTTGATCTGAACACAAGATCCACTTGATACCCGACAGCCTCTCTTGGTTCCTGCCTGGCTCACACGTTTTCTGCCCTTAACTGAGCTGGTCTGTACTAAGTTAGTCTGGACTAACCATCCTAGTAACACTTGGAAACCATATTTAGCCTTTCACCTTTGATTATTTCATCATACACTGGGTGGAAGTGGCTTGCCCAAAGTAACACAGAAGCAGGGAAATAAAAGGAATGTGAGACTCCTCAGCTCCTGTCAGCAGTGCAAGCCCAGGGTCATCCCGGCCATCTGAGCTTTTAAAATGTAGGCACAGAGAAACACTGTCAAATAACGAACAATATCAGTTTAGAAGAGACAAAAGGTGTTCTTTATCAGGGGGGTGGGATACATGAAGTTGCTCGAGCTGAATTAGAAGCTGAAAGTACTCCCCAGGATCTCAGTACTGGCTCGATACCAAACCCAAACCCTGTGTTTTCCAGCTAACTCCTGTGCCTCTGATCATGTCTCCAGGGGTCCCCTCTGTCCCCTGCCCCAATCAATCCCCCCCAGCTCTAACAGAAAGCCAGGAGGCCTCTGATGCCAACAGAGATGGCATTCTGTGACATGCCTGACAGACTCGTCTGACAACTTGGAGCTTTGTTTTGCATAAACCACCCAAACAGATGGTCACCACTTTTAAGTACCAGCCTGGCTTGTGTTTGTAGGCAGGATCTACAAGCACAGAACTGAAATTTCACTGAATTCCCTGTCTCCTGCTGTAACTGTGGCTTTGGGGTAGAAAACAGAGGAGGGAGAGTTTGGGGGGAAAACTCAAAAGGGCTTTAAGGGGACTTCTCAGTGCTATATTTGAGAGTGAGACGGTGGTTTTACCTCCTTGCCATCTCGGTATTCTCTTTCATTCACACTTACAGAGTCATCTTCTGTGAGTTAAAAAGCATTTTCTAGGGAGCAGTGACCTTTAGGGAATGTCCTGTGGCCACACAGTCCTGTCTCTCAGGCTTCCAAACCTGTGCTGTTCCTTGGTGGCACTACTGAGATGTCTGATTTCCGTTTTGCTTCCCGTCTGAATTTTAATGATGAATTATTTGTAGCATTTCCAGCAGGCTGGAACAGGGGCACTAATTGCTACTTCAGATGGGGAAAGTGGTCCCTCTCCCAGCAGAGAGCTGAGCTGTCAAGCAGGGTTATGTCACATTATCCTGAATTTAGTATCATGACAGCTTCACCCATCTGGCTGGTTAGATTTGCAATGAATAGTTTTTGCAGTTGGGGATATTTTACCCCTTTCTCTGGCTTGCTCCCCATGTTTAACCTTCTCTGGCTTGTCTGACGAAACTCTGAGTGCATTTTTATCAAATGTCAGTGTTTTCTTGGGCAAGAACATGACCCATAGACACAGTTCCTCAGCGAGGTAAGAGCAGGGCTGCCTGTCAGCCTTGATGGCACTGTTGTGCAGGTAATAACTAGTTTCATTCATAGGATCAGGCTGCTTTTTTTCTCTAGCTAGTCTGAAAGATGCACATCTGTTTTTCCAGCCGAGCAGAGCATGAAGTCACCAGTCTCCTCTGATCTGCATTTGCATTCACTGTATATAAATGCTGTGTGCTGATCTCAACAGACAACTATAGATCACTGACAGCCCTCAGGAATGCAAGGAGGACTGTGGAAAACACAAGATTTCCTGCGTGTGCTAGTGGATCCATGAATCCACAGATAACATATGTCCTTAAACTGCATCTGTCTGTCTGTATATTTAGAAAAAAACCTGCCCAAAGACAGGCTGCAAAACCACGGAGATCTGACCGGTACAAACGGGAAAACTTAAGGAGATCAAGGAACCATCCCGATCCTCCCTGGTTTCATTTGCATCCTAAAGCGCCGGGTCCCACTTCAGGAGTCACTCCGTTTCATCATTAAGTTCCCTTTACGTTGCTGCCTAATTAATTAAATGCATAAGCACGTGTAGGGAGATGACACCAGGGCATAAACCGGACAAGAAAACCCGAACCACTTCGGGCTACGCACGGAAATTTTCTTGCATTGCTCCGTCCCTTTTTGGGTGACTTGTACAGGGATTAAAGAAAATCCCCGGGGTGACCGAGCTAAAGTACTCGCGCCAGGGACTTCTTATTTTCACGGCGCGGGAGCGACGGGCTCTGATTTCAATTCAGGGGTGCAAAAACTGCCTCCGTGGCCATCCCCAACTTCCCGGCGGTGCGGGGGCCCTTCAGCACCGCGGCGGGTGGGGAGGGAGCCCGGGACGGCACCTGCCTCTCTCTCCCCGGCACCTCGGAGCCAGGCTGGGATGCGACCCGGAGCATCCCTCGGGTCCTACGGCACCGCCGGGCAGCTCCGGGAGCGCATCCCCCTGGCTCCGGGAGGGCATCCCCCTACTCCGGGAGGGCATCACCCTACTCCGGGATAGCATCCCCGCACTGCCAGGAGAGTATTCCCCGCTGCCCCGGCCTTTCCCAGAAGGCATCCCAGGGCCACTCCGAGAGCGTATTCCCTCGCTGCCCAGCAGAGCATCCTCTCTCTGCCCCGGCCGGCCGGCAGCGCATCCCCCCCGGCTCCGGGAGCGCATCCCTCCGCTGCCGGGAGAACATTCCCCGCTGCCCCGAGCGTTCCGGGAAGGCATCTCCGGGGCGCTCCGGGAGCGTATCCCATCGCAGCCGGGAGAGCATTCCTGCGCTGCCGGGAGAGCATCCCCGCTGCCGGGAGAGCATTCCCAGCGCCCGGGAGAGAATCCCCCGCTGCCCCAGCCGCTCCGGGAGCGCACCCCCCCCCGGCTCCGGGAGCGCATCCCTCTTCCCCGGGAGCGCATCCCTCTTCCCCGGGAGCGCATCCCCGCGCCCCGGCAGTGCATCCCCCCTCTCCTGCAGCTCATCCCTCGCCTCCGGACTGCATCCCCGCGCCCCGGCAGCGCATCCCCCCTGCTCCGGCAGAGCATCCCCCCGCTCCGGGACCTCATCCCCGCGCCCCGGCAGCGCATCCCCGCCTGGATCCCCGGATCCCCGGCGCTCCCTCCCGCCGGTCCGGAGCAGCGCCCGCCGCTTCCCTCCGCCGTAAAGCGAAAAGGGAAGGGAGGGGGAAGGGGCCGCTCGGGAGACTTACGCCCGTGCTTTCGGGAAGCCCATGGAGAGCAGGATCTCGAGCGAGGAGCCGTGTTTGATGGTCCCGGCGCGGTGCTGGCGGTTCCGCCGGGGGATGACTTTGCTGTACAGCTCGTCTCTGGCAGCCATGGCGAGCGGCGCGGGCTGGGCCATCAGCGCGCAGCCATCGCGGGCCGCGCAGGGCCATCCACGCACCCGCCGCGGGAGCGCTGCCGCTGCCCCGGCCCCGCGCGGAGCGACCCGCCCACCCCGCGCAGCCCCCGCGGAGCCTCCGCGGCCGAGCCGCCGCCTCCGGGTGGGGGAGAGGGAGGGAGGGAGGGAGGGAGAGGGAGAGGGAGAGGGAGGGAGGGAGAGAGGGTGGGGGGGGGTGGCCACGGGGGCGTGGGAGGGGAGGATGGGGGGAGCCCACCCGGGAGCCGGGGATGAGACACCCGGGGGGCGGATGCAGGAGAAAGGAAGGTTCCTTTAAAAAAAAACAAAACAAAAAAAACCCACCCAAAAACCCCAAAGAACACAAAAAAAGACCCACAAAGCACGTGCACGCGCGATTATTTCCATTTATTTATTTTTTTTATTTTTTTGTTAGATTTTTCTGCTTATTTGTAATTTCTATTATTATTTCTATTTCTTTGTCAAATTTTCCATTTATTTATCTGTCATTTCTATTATTATATTTATTTATTTATTATATTTATTTAATTTATTTATTCATTATGTTTTCCATTTATTTATCTATCTCTCATTTCCATTATTATTTCTATTATTTATTATATTTTCCATTTATCTCTCTGTCATTTCCATTATTATTTCTATTTATTTGTTTATTATATTTTTGATTTATTTATCTGTCATTTCTGTTATTATATTTATTTATTTATTATATTTTTGACTTATTCATCTGTCATTTCTATTATTATATTTATTTATTTATTATATTTTCGACTTATTTTTCTGTAATTTCTATTATTATTTCTATTTCTTTATTTGTTTATCATATTTTCCATTTATTTATCTGTCATTTCTATTATTACATTTATTTATTACATTTTCTATTTTTATCTGTAATTTCTACTATCATTTCTATTTATTTGTTCATCATCATCATGGCTGGGCTTTGCGAATGAAGATTTGGGAAATTTATTTGTTATATTTGCTATTTATTTATCTATAATTTCTATCATTACTTCTATTTATCTATATATTATATTTTTCTATTTATTTGTATTTATTTGTATTTCTATTATTATTTCTATTTATTTATTATATTTTCCATTTATTTATCTGTAATTTCTATTATTTCTATTATTATTCCCTGCTTTCTTCCCTGCTGTATTTCAGTTCATCCTTCTCACTGTCTTTTTTTTTTTCCCCTTCTTCCCTCTTTTCCCTTCACTTTTAAACACAAGCAGACCCCGCTCCTGATCACAGCCTGGAATCACAGCCCTGCAAGCAAAGAAAACCCATTAAGAGGCGTTTTTAAAAATAGTTTATGTCGGGGAAGGAAATCAATATTGGCAGTGACAAATCTATCACTACATTTGGGAAAACAAAGAGCCCATTTCCATTTTGCTGTATCAATGAAGGGAAAGAAAAAAAAAACCAAACCCTCCCATCTCCCTGCTCGTTCCCCTCTTGTGCCAGTTGATTTTCTGCCTCTTGATCCGAAGGCAGGAGGAGAACCAGCCCCTTGCTTTTCCCTTCCCACGGGGAAAGGCCGTGCCTGTACTGCCTGAACTAAGGATGCCACAAAAATTCAGGGGCCAGGAGGACGTGGCACAAAACACTGCTTGTTTTAATAGGTAAAAAGTTAAAAGGAGACACTTTTAACTCCTCTGGTGTTGCTGAGGCACCGGCTCTGTCCTTTACCCCCGCTGTTAATTGGCAAGGCCTTCATTAAAGTCAGTGGGTGAAACCGAGGGGTGTTCAGTCATGGATTTTAGCCCTAAATCAGGATCAGGCATCCAATCCACTCCATTTTAACAGAGGAGGAGACTTAAGGGTTATTAATAAGAATATTTGCACTGGAACATGGATTGCCAGAGCCCCCAGAAGGGTTTGTCCCCCATGAACTCATTGCAGCCATGCTGGGAGCACCATGAACGTGCTGGACCTGCCAGAGGGGAAGATGAAAATCCCAAATTAACACCAGCCCCACCTTCCCACCTCCCAGCCAAGCACTGCAGGCAATTCCCAGGGGAATGTGATCCCTGCCCAGGGATCTGCAGCCAGCAGAAATCTGGGAGGATTGCTGTGGTTTGACTTAAGTCACTGTGCCCAAATTAGGCGGGTTTTTGTGCTCCAGCTGTATTTCTCAATCAGGAAATAACAATAAAACCTTAATTTGCTGTGGAAGTGGCTCCCAGGGACTTTGCCCAGATGGGAATCTCTTCCCTGTAGCTGTGACAGATTCATAGAATCAATTAAAAAACCTAAATCCACGTTATAGAAGTTGCAATGTTGAAGTTTTGTTGGTTGGATGAGTTGCTGCAGCAACTCCACTGGAAGCATCAAAGATGTTACAACCAACAAGAAGGAACAGAAATAGGATTTCACACATCTAGGCTGTGTACAATTCCCAATCCATAGGTGAGACTGGCTGGGAATGATTTTCCCAAGAGACCACCTCATGTCCTTGTAACTTCTGTGTCTCTGTGTTTGATCTGGCTCTGCTTCTTTACATGGAAACCCTTTCCTTGGGAAGCAATTCCTTTTTTTTTCCCCTCAACAATCAAACATATTCCTGGAAATAAAGCTTCCTCCCACCTTTTCTTTTTTTTTGATGGAAGGCTGAAAACGAAAGCTGTCTCAGTGAGAAAATAGGGAAAGGAAAGAGAGTAAAAGCAGAAAGGAAATTTTTAAAAGAGCAAACACAGAGAAAACTGTGTTGCAGTCACCCAAATGAACAGTAATTTTCGTGAAAAAAATGGAAATCTATGAAAGGATTTGGCCTGTATGAAATCTGTGATATTCAGTTTATTTAAAATGCTGTCAGATTTTTACAGAAAACCTGTTGTTTTCTTTGTTTTGTTTTGTTTTTTTTTTTTTCACATGGCTATCCTGTTGCTGGTCTGACCCTGGATGTGCTCACTTACTGCTGCTGCTCACCATTTTCCTGAGCCAGGGCACCAGTTTTTGGGTGCCCAAAGGGTTCAAGTTCCTGCAGCAAAAGCCTCCTCTCTGTGCCCTCTGTGCTCCCCTACTATTTTCCCCAGTGAACTGAAAATATTCTCCTTTTACCTACAGGAAAATGCATTCTGAGGGGATTATTTTTATCACTTCCTTCAATGCAACACGGAATTAATTGAGGGGGGAGTGTTTAAAAATGTGCTGCTGGACAGTGAGTGGGAGTGTTGCTCCAGGCTTCAATAGGAAGAGGTCAGGCTCCTGAGGAATTGGAGCCAAATTTAGCCCTCTCCCCAGCCTGATGCTCCCTCCTTGCTGGCATGCAAAGGGTTTGCTCTCTGACAATGGAAATATTCTGGAATAACCAGCACAACAGCAGGAAACGGAGCAGGGGGTTTGCTTTCCTCCTCCTTTAAAAAAGAAAAAAGGGGTCAGATGCCTTCAGAAAGTCCTTGTTCCAGACTCTGCTTTTGAATTATTACCAGCTGAATTGTGGTGTTGCCCCCGGGGGGGAAGGAGGGAGGGACAGGGACAGGATGCAGAGCCCCTCCTGGGCCAGGAGGAGCAGAGGGAATGTTGTCCCTGCTCCCCCCTGCTCCCAGGGAGGAGAGAAAGGAGTCTGCCACAAGGCAAACATTGAGCCCAAGCTGAACAATGAAGGCAGGATTGCTGTCTCCTAGACTTTGGGCCTGATCTTGCAATAATTTGCATGCTTTAAGCCATTTTACACACTCGGATATTCCACATGGCAACTTCAGGCCCATGGGGGAGGGAGGGCTCCAGCCCCTCATCCCTTATCCATCCTTGGCAAATCCATCCTCCAGTTATTTCCCTGCACGTTGAAGTGGTGTCAACACTCAGCCTTTGGGGCTGAGCAGCTGAAGGTGCTAAAAAATTAAAAATAAAACTGACTCCACCCTCAGCACTTCTCCCCCCCCCCCTTTTTTTTTTTTCCCAGTCTCCTGAGTTTCCAAGTGTCAAGAAAGGGTGATTTATCGCTGAGAAAAATGAACAGCTGCCTCACACTTGATTCAAACCAGCATGAAAAAGGGAGGTAAAATTATTAGTCAGAGTTTTTACAAAGCTAAGACTAAAGAAACAGCAAAGTCCAGCCCACTTCCTATGCTACTGGTAACTGCTCCTGTTGGGAACAACTGCTGAGCCTTGCTGAAAAGTGGAAGAACAACATTCCTTAAAGCCTAAAACACCTTTGTCCAGCTATTTTACCTGTTTGGGCTGGATAATGGGGTCGGAATGAGCATTTATTCCTGGTCCCATCCCACAGGGATAGTTCCCTTCCTTTGCTAAGCATCCATCTGCCAAGGTACTTACATGAGCCTCCTCTCCTCTCATCACTGCAATATTTGAGTCCCTCCAGAGTGTTTAAAAAAGGAAAGAGCAGCTGGTTTGTAGAAGGGATCCTGTGCTTTGTCCAGAAAGCTGTGAAAGGACTTTCTCACCCTTCACCGTATCCACCTCACCTCAAACCTCTGCCACGAGGTTTGGGCTCTGGGAGAGTTATTAGGGCTGCAGAGCACTCCTGAAGGACCAGGGATTTTTTTTATCCATCTCCAGCTTCTATTGCTTCGGGGTTTTAACTCCAAATTCTGCTGCAGATGTGGAATTGTGGGGTGGGTTCGTGCTGGGCTTCATTAGAGAGCAGCAGGATGTTGGGCCATGGGCACAGGAGAATTTGCTTTTCCAGCTCGGGTTTCCTTCAAATTCGAAATGTATTTTCCTCATTTAAAAAGAAAAATCACTTTAATTTCATCACAATCCCTCTATTTGGGCACGGAGCTGTGGAGTCGAGCAGGAATAAGACAAGAGGCAAAACATCCTCCAGATATTCCAGGGCAGGGGATGACATCCAGTGCAGCTTGCTGAGCCTGCAAGTGAAAGGAAAACAAGATAACATATGTATTTTAAACCTCTTGGAGCTATTTTTGGTTAGGAGGCAATAGGGGATGCTGTGTGAGGAAGGATGGCAGCTTCCCTGGGCAGCTTTAGCAGGATGGCCTTTCATGGGTCATTAGAAACTGAACCAGGGGAGTAGCTGAGGCTTTGCAAAGAGAGATTCCACCTTCTCCTAACTGTGCAGAGCTGAGTTTTTTCCTATATATATATATGTAT